GGATCAAGGCATGCGCACTATACTGGCTATTTTTTATGTTATTTTTAGTTGGCCAATTAATTTGTTTCTATTTATAGTAGAGATGTGGTATCACTCTTGCTCAGGCTGGTTCGAACTCCTGACCTCTACCGATCCGCCCGCCTCGCCTCCCAGAGTGGTAGGATGACAGGCGTGAGCCACCACGCCCAACCCTCTCACATAATGGGGTTATGTGAGAATGCTTACTTAAAGCATTCTTCTTGATTTTTGATGTATTGCCATTATTTCTAATATCAAAAATATACACTCCATTGTGATTTGTCTATTATATTAAAATCACGAAAATTTTGCTAACGTGTATATAATGGTCATCAGCCTCTTTTGTAATGAGTATGTTCTTGTAATATAAATATATATGAGTAAAGGCAGCACACAAATTATTTTAAAAGTTTATTCTTGATAGCATGTTCATTTGAACATGTAATTGTTTTAGAGCAGATGTTTTGTACGTCTCTTTCCCAGTAATTAGTGTGGGTGGTAGATATTTTGGTGTGTAATTAGTCTCAGTGTATGGCAGTGATCAGTTTATAGGTTTGCTAACTATCAACTTGTCTTTTGTATGGCTTAGGGGGAAAAACAATTTGGGATGTATTAATGCTTAACTTTTATATCAGCTTGATTGGTACCCAGGATCTTATGGTTTTCATATTTTGTTATAGGCTCACGCAACACTTCTGGGTTTGGCAAACATGGAAACTCGTTACTTTGCAAAGAAAAAACCCTTCTTGGCTTGAGTAAATTGGCTGCTTTAGCTTCAGACTTTTCAGAGGATGTACTGCAAGAAAAAATTGAAGGTAAAAGAAAGAATTTGATTAAGAAGATATACAAATTAGTCATGCTATCAATTAATTCTTATGATGTGTTCTATTGTAGTTAACAGGATCTGTTAAAAACAGGACCTTTGTCTAGTTTAAGAGGAATACTTTTATCAATGTCCATGTATTTATTTATTCTCAACAACTGAATAGATAAATTAATGTTCATTTATAGTTACTCAATTACATACTTGAATCTTTTTTGAGAGAAAAATTATTGTATTAATAAGAATTCCTAAAGAATAGATTCAAGTGATTTTGAACTCAGAACTCTGGTTATACACCCTTAGAGATACATATTCAAGGCAAAAGAACACAAAGAAACCTTGACCTTTACACAGTGGGGTTTTTATAGGTAGTGGCATTGGTGCAGGATTCTGAAACTATTTTGTGTATGTTGTAGTTTGAGAAAATGATTAAATATAGTACAGTCAGCCTCCATATCCACAGGTTCCACATTGCAGGTTCAGCCAAACACAGATTGAATTATTTGGGGTGAGGGGAAACACAATAAAAATAATAATACAATAATAAGAATAATGCAAATTTAAAAATCAATACATTATAACTATTTACATTGTATTAGGTACGACAAATAATGTAGAGATGATTTAAAGAATATGTGAGGATTGTGTGTTATTTATTTGCAAATACTACGTCATTTTTTAGAAGGGACTTGAGTTATTTGGTATCTTTGGAGGTCCTGTAATCAGTCATCTGTGGATACCAAGGGACAACTGTTACTATCTTTGAGAACCAAGGGAGAGGGAGATACAAATGTAGAAAGAAGGTGAGAAAGAATTCTGTATTATTGCATTTGAATTGGAGATATCAGATAGAATCTGATTTTTTAAAAAATATATTTCTTGTTTGAAGTGATGAATATGCAATTACTCTGAATAGATCATTACACAATGTATACACATATTGAAACTCACATTGTACCTCATAAATACATATAATATTATGTGTCAACTAAAAAATGTACGTATGCATTTACATACATTTATATATAGGCTCTTTCCACTGAAAGAGCCTAAAAGCAATGACACCCTGGTAGCGTGAGTATACCTAGTTCCATATTTTGGTTCCTAACTATTAATACCATTTTCCAAGAAAAGGAAATGAGGACATATTGAAGAAAATCTTTTTGGAGAGCCTTACTGGGCCAGAAAACAAGGTGAATATAGAGATGTCAAAAGAACACAAGAGCCTTGAATAGCTCCCACTAACCAAGTTTGAGAATAATCCACACATCAAAAGGAATGATAGTAAAGGATTATACTTTATAGTTTATAAAAGAAAAATCCATGAATCCACAGTGATACCCAAAGGGGTCAGTGAAATGCTTCTTTACAAAAGAATGCAAAGTAATAAGTGTAAAAAGAATGACAGAAGTCATCAAATGATGCTGAAACCACTTTAAGGATTAGGGGAACAGGACATTCCCATGTTTTCAGAGTATAAGCACAGATGGATCTAATACACCATCACCGACAAAAATATAAACCCACACTGTGTGCATCCTGAAGGGATGTAATAGCAGTAGATAGCATCACCTGTGTCATTGCCAAGATGTTTAAGCTAAATCTAATCACAGGGAACAATCATATATCCTGATGGTGGGACATTTTACAGTACAGTCGGCCTGGACTCCTCAAAATTTTAGTAACATGAAAGATACAAAAAGGCAGGAGGTTGTTTTAGATAAAGGAACCTAAGAGCCAGGACATGGAATAAAATGCAGTGTGAGTTTTTTGATTGAATCCTGGATCACCCCCAAAATAACCAAAACAACTATGATGAATATTTTGGGGACAACGAGTGAAATTTGAAATACTTAATATTAAGCGATAGTACTGTATTGATGTTAAATTCCATAGGGCTGATAATGATATTGTGGTGAAATGTCTTTATTTTTATTTTTTTTTTTTTGAGACAGAGTCTCGCTTTGTTGCCTAGGCTAGAGTGAGTGCCATGGCGTCAGCCTAGGTCACAGCAACCTCAATCTCCCGGCTCAAGCAATCCTTCTGCCTCAGCCTCCCAAGTAGCTGGGACTACAGGCATGCGCCACCATGCCCGGCTAATTTTTTTATACATATATATATTAGTTGGCCAATTAATTTCTTTCTATTTATAGTAGAGATGGGGTCTCGCTCTTGCTCAGGCTGGTTTCGAACTCCTGACCTCTAGCAATCTGCCCGCCTCGGCCTCCCAAGAGCTAGGATTATAGGCGTGAGCCACAATGCCCGGCCTAAATGTCCTTATTCTTAGGAGATATACATACTAAGTATTTAGAAATGAAATATGATATCTTCAGCTTTCATATGATTAAGAAAAAGAATACCCAGAGAGGGAGAGAGAAAAGAAGAGAGAAGGCAAAGAGGCCAGAATGCTAACAGCAAGTGACTCTAAATGAAGGCTGTGCAGTACATATTGTATTCTTTAAAATTTTCTGTAGGTTTGGAATTTTTCAAAATAAAAATTGGAGGGAGAAATCTAAACTATATTGTCAGGGATGAAGTATATGCAAATATGGATATTTGGTTGCATGGCTTAGCCATAGAGAGTCCAGCCTCTGGGATCTGGGTTCAAATTATATATTGTCACTTTTTTTTCCTTTGAGGGAGTGGATTAATGGAAAGAATCTGGAATTCAAATATTTCCTCCAGAACTTAATAACTTTGTGACCTTGGGTAGTTGAGTTATCTTCCTGAACCTCAGTTTCTTCATCTATGATATTAGGTAGTGGTAAGGATTGAGGACAGTGTGTTTTTAGAGAAAAATGGCTTTTGCATTAAGTGCTCAATACTTTTTATTATTATTATTATTTATTTATTTTTTGAGACAGAGTCTGTCTCTGTTGCCCTGGTTAGAGTGCCATGGTGTCAGCCTAGCTCACAGCAACCTCAAACTCCTGGGCTCAAGCAATCCTTCTGCCTCAGCCTCCCAAGTAGCTGAGACTACAGGCACATGCCACCATGCCTGGCTAATTTTTCTATATATTTTTAGTTGGCCAATTAATTTATTTCTATTTTTAGTAGAGATGGGGTCTCGCTGTTGCTCAAGCTGGTTTCGAACTCCTGACCTTGAGCCATCCTCCCGCCTCAGCCTCTCAGAGTGCTAGGATTACAGGCATGACCCACCTCGCCCGGCCAATACTTTTATTATTGAAATTATTTTTTACTACTGAGGAGAATCTTCTTCAATCTTTTTTATTCATTTATTTATTTTGTACTAGTAGTACCCATTGTTCTGGAGAAAGTATGTGTATGTTCATTCTGTAGAACTGACTGATGGTCCGAGAGGGAAGCCATATTTTAGTTTGGCTGCCAGAGACAGACCATGTTAATCAAAATATTTTAACACAAGACTTTTCTTATTTCTTGTGTTCTCCTCCCAGATATTGGAATTCTGGTCATTATTTTTCAATCAATTAATTCTTAGCTTTTGTTTTCTTAACACAATGGGAATATTTTAAGGTTTTGGTAATGTCCTACAGACTGTTATCACAATGTATCTAATGATAGGGAGTAGGCTTTTTAAAAATAACTTTCCTGGCTATATTAATAATTCCTTATTTGGGACTGCAAACGAGTACAACTTCTGTGGAAAGTAATATGGCGATAACCTCAAAGAGCTACAATTAGAACTATCATTTGATCCAGCAATCCCATTCCTGGCCATCTATCCAAAAGAACAAAAGACATGACATATAAAAAAGACATCTGGCCGGGCGTGGTGGCTCACGCCTGTAAGCCTAGCACTTTGGGAGGCCAAGGCGGGCGGATTGCTCAAGGTCAGGAGTTCGAAACCAGCCTGAGCGAGACCCTGTCTCTACCAAAAATAGAAATAAATTAATTGACCAACTAAAAATATATATACAAAAAATTAGCCGGGCATGGTGGTGCATACCTGTAGTCTCAGCTACTTGGGAGGCTGAGGCAGTAGGATCGCTGAGCCCCGGAGATTGAGGTTGCTGTGAGCCAGGTTGACGCCACGGCACTCACTCTAGCCTGGGCAACAAAGTGAGACTCTGTCTCAAAAAAAAAAAAAAAAAGACATCTGCACTAGACTATTTATATAGCAGCACAATTCACAATTGCAAAGATGTGGAAACAACCCAAGTGCCCATCAACGCGAGTGGATTAATAAAATGTGCTATATGTATACCATGGAGTTCTACTCAGCCTCAGAAAACTATGGTGATCTAGTACCTCTTGTATTATCCTGGATAGAGCTAGAGTCCATTCAACTAAGTGAAGTATCACAAGAATGGAAAAACAAACACCACACGTACTCACCATCAAATTGGTACTAACTGATCAACACTTAAGTGCACAGATAGTAGTAACATTCATCTGGTGTTGGCAGATGGGAGGGGAGTGGAAGGGATGGGCATATACACATCCAGTAAGCGTGGTGCACACAATCTGGGGGATGGACATGCTTGAAATTTCTGACTCAGGTGGAGCAAAGGCAATATATGTAACCTAAACATTTGTACCACCATAATATGCTGAAATAAAAAAACCTGAAAAAAAAATTCCTTATGGAAAATGTATAAATTATACGAAAAAAATGCACAATAAAAAAGTAAGTTGTTTATAATCCCACCTCCCCAGAGGTAACTATTGTTACTGTTTTATAAATATCCTCTCAGTCTGTTTTTCTAGGTACAGAAATACACAGAAATGTTCCATTTAATTTTTCCAAAGTTGGGATCATGTGGAAAGCTGCCAGGATTTGAATAAAAGTATCTGTGCTTTGGTCACTTAGTTTTGCTGTGACTGCTGTGTTTATGCGGATACATAGCAATTTTCACCCTTTTTCCTACAACCTAGCACATTCTCCTGGGCAGAGCCAGGTCATAGGCCACAGCCTGGAGAGTTGGTGGCAAGCAAAAGTCCTTGTCACCTCATCCAGTGGAGGTAACTCTTGTTAGTAGATTTGGTGCACATTTTTCCAGGTTTTATTTTTCTTGTGATATACTCACAATAGCTTTTAAATCATTTCCCTTTGCAAATAAAACTACAATTGACCCTTGATCAACACAGGACTGAACTTTATGAGTCCACTTACATGTGGATTTTTTTCAGTAAATATATTAGAAAAATTTTTGGAGATTTTCAGCAATTTGAAAAAACAGACAAACCACATAGCCTAGGAATATAAAAAAATTAAAAAATATATCATGAATGTATAAAATATATGTAGATACTAGTCTATTTACTACCATAAAATATACACAAACCTATTATAAAAAGTTAAAATTTATCAAAACTTACACAAAGACTGTACATGGTGCCATTCCTATTGGAGAGAAATGTAAACAAATATGAAGGTACAGTAATGTAACTGCATAAAATTAACTGTAGTACATACTGTTCTACTAATAATTTTGTAGCCAACTCCTGTTGCTATTGTGGTGAGCTCATGTGATGCTAATTATTTCCAAATGAGAAGTTAGTCTCAACGGTAAATTGCATGTTACAGTAAAAAGTGATCTCTCACAGTTCACATGTTTCATAATGTTTAGTTCAATACTGTAAACTTTGAATAACATCTTGGGACCCATATGAAGTGCCACTAGTGATGCCAGAAGTGCTCCCAAGAAGCAGAGAAAAGTCATGACATAAGAAAAAGTTAAACTGCTTGCTATGTCCTGTAGATTGAGGTCCATAGCTGTGGTTACCTGTCATTTCAAGATAAATGTATCCAGCATACGGACCATTGTTAGAGAGAGAGAGAAGGAAATTTACGCAGCCATCAATGCAGCTACACCAACAGCAGTAGTTAAGTTTTTGGGTAATCAAAAGTTATACTCAAGGCCGGGCGCTGTGGCTCACGCCTGTAATCCTAGCTCTTGGGAGGCCGAGGCGGGCGGATTGCTCAAGGTCAGGAGTTCAAAACCGCCTGAGCAAGAGCGAGACCCGTCTCTACTATAAATAGAAAGAAATTAATTGGCCAACTGATATATATATAAAAAAAAATAGCCGGCATGGTGGCGCATGCTGTAGTCCCAGCTACCGGGAGGCTGAGGCAGAGGATCACTCGAGCAGGATTTGAGGTTGCTGTGAGCTAGGCTGACGCCACGGCACTCACTCTAGCCTGGGCAACAAAGTGAGACTCTGTCTCAAAAAAAAAAAAAAAAAAAAAAAGTTATACTCAGATTTTCACATCCCTAACCCCCAATCGTTCATGGGTCAACCATATACTATAAACTCTAGTGAGAAGAACTGAGAGATCCCACATTTGGGGAACTTGTAGCTAATGAAATAGCCATCCACTCTACAACTTCTTCAAGCAGTAGAATGTATTTCCTTAACAGTTCTCTCCCCACCTATTTCTAGTTGCTATGATAATTCACATTACTGGGATTGAATCATGAATATGTTGTTAACATAATCAGCAATCAAGAATAAGTAAAATTAATAACATTCTAAGATCATTAAATAGCAATGGGATTGCCTTTCGAACTGTTGATTTTTTTTCTTTTTAATCCAGATTTGTTTTATGACAGCAAAGCAGCAAAAGTGAAAGTTCCATCATTCTCTTTCTCTCTCTCTCCCTCATCCTGAATACTAGAAATGGCTGAGCAGGAGCGCTTCCTACTGCACCAGGAGACTCTGCCTGAACAGCTGCTAGCAGAGAAACAGCTAAATCTCAGTGCCATGCCAGTGTTGACAGCACCACAACTCATTGGCGTATGTGCTTTCCAAATCCTTATACCATTTCTTAAACTCAAAATATTGTCACTGTTTGTTGCGCCTTGTAATGTAGGTCCTAAGAGGAGTCCTCTTTATTTCCTACCATCCTGAAAACTTTCCCCAGAAAGAGTTGTTGGAAGCTCGCCATACACCTCCGCCTGGTCCTGAAGGTACATACCTAGATGACCAGGGGAAATTACTTGTATTTTGTTTTTCTAGTTTAGGACGAATATGTACCATGAGGTAACTTTATTTCCCCAACACATTACTTTTCAGGCTCTTCTGAAAATATATTTATTGAAGAAAACTTGTTTAAAGAACTGAATTTATGTGGCCTGGAAGTGGCAGCCTCACTGCTTTCCTCTGCAACCGGGCACATCCCTGAGAGCAGGCCTGAGTGTGGGCTGCAGCCCAGACAGGGTGGTGTTGGTGTTAATGTATACCTGGTGCCCTTAATCCTGCTGTGTTCACAGCCAGAGTGATGGTATAGGATCACCTTGAATTTGCCCTAATTATATGAAAAAGAAAGCGAACAATTAAAAAAACCTTAATATTTTATCCATTATTAATAATACATTTCCTGGCCAGGCGTGGTGGCTCACGCCTGTAATCCTAGCTCTCTGGGAGGCCGAGGTGGGCGGATTGCTCGGGGTCAGGAGTTTGAAACCAGCCTGAGCAAGAGCAGGACCCCATCTCGACTATAAATAGAAAGAAATTAATTGGCCAACTAATATATATAGAAAAAATGAGCCGGGCATGGTGGCACATGCCTGTAGTCCCAGCTACTTGGGAGGCTGAGGCAGAAGGATTGCTTGAGCCCAGGAGTTTGAGGTTGCTGTGAGCTAGGCTAATGCCACGGCACTCACTCTAGCCTGGGCAAAAAAAGTGAGACTCTATCTCAAAAAAAAAAAAAAAAAAATTTCCTGTTGTAACCAAGCTCACAACAGCTTCTCCTGATAGAGCATATATTTAATTTAGAAACCTATGTATCACTAGGAGGGGAAAAAAAGTAGTGCCAATTTTACTTTGATGCACCATCGATTTTAATAATACATTCCAATTTCAGAGATTATGGAGAAAAAGGATGCTCAGGAACAATGAAATAGAGTATTGTTTCTTAAAGTGTTGTAAGCCAACGAAAACAAGCTGATAGCTTTTTTCTGACATGGCTTGAATATTGTTTCTGTTAAAGGATCATAATCTTTAAAAATGAAATTTGTTATAAATAGTTGTTAGAAAAGGAAGGTAGGAAAAATCCAAATTGAAATTTTTAATAAGAGAAGCATTTTTCTGATCATAAAATTACAGGAAATTTGAAGAATACAGAAATGAATATGCAGTCAGTTATAATCTCACTAACCAGGGATAACCATTGGTAATATGTTGCCGTGTATTGTCTCATCTTTTAAGTAAACTATAGACCAGGGGTCCACAAACTTTTTAAACGGGGCCAGTTCACTGTCCCTCAGACCGTTGGAGAGTGCGGCGCACATTCCACACATGTGCACTGTGGGCCCGGGATGAGTCGGCTGCTAAGCAGGACAGGCAGCGGCAGCAGAAACACCTAGTGGGCCGGATAAATGTCTTCCATGGGCCACATGTGGGCCATAGTTTGAGGACACCTGCTATAGACCAACTACATGCTTTATCACAGATGTCAATTTTTAAAACTGTTTAAAAAGGCAGCATTTCAAAAGCATTATAAGCAGTTTTAAAAGTGCAAGGTCAACAATTTATTCCAAAGATTATGTTCAAAAGAATACTGAAATGTAGATAGTATCTTCTTGATCCTTAAGAATATAAATTCAGTGACATTTAAGAAGTTTATGTACCAAGTTATGTAAATTAACTGGTTCAAGATATTCATTTTTAAAAAGAAAGTTTATTGTGAGGTAGGTGGAATATAGTTTCCAAATGTGAGATTGTTCTTTATTATAAAAATACTTATTACTTACTTAAAAGATATAATGACTTCTTCCTAAATTTCTCTAATATTAGTTACATGATTACTTAAAATAATCTCCTTATTTTAACCTGTTATAGCTATATATCTGTGAAGAAAACAGAAGAGCTAATGAATATGATTTCAAGAAAGCTTTGGACTTGCTGGAATATATTGATGAGGTAAGAAAGTCACTTGAGATGATCTCAGGCAACAGAATACATATATTAATAAAAAGAGGGAAAAATACCTCTTTTAGTCAGTCATGAAAATGTATTAATGAAAACAGACTCTATCTCTGATTCAAGTATCCTAACTCTTAGAATGAATATAGCTCTTTAGAAAAGCTGTCAAGAGACTCTGTTTTCTGATCATTCTCACACATGCCCAGATGTCTTTTTCTGTGCACAAATAAAAAATGTTTTTCAAAAGTCCTGAGGTATTTTTTCTCTTTCATTTATTATCATTAGTTTTTAAATCTGATATGTTGCTTTATTGATGAATTCTTCATACTGTTCACTTTAAAAGAAGCTGTTTCTCAGCTTTCAAAGGTTATAATGAAAATTCTGTAGGATAAGGAATTCTGTTACCTGACCATGCAGTTGAAAGTAATTTGATAAATTTTAAAAACATATTATTATTTATGTATGTATTTATTCATTCATTCATTCATTGGCAGTGTCTCCTCTGTTGACTGGGCTAGAGTGTCATGGCATCAGCCTAGCTCACAGCAACCTCAAACTCCTGGGCTCAAGTGATCCTTCTGCCTCAGCGTCCCAAGGAGCTGAGACTGCAGGCACGTGCCACCATGCCCAGCTATTTTTTTCTATATAGTTTTAGTTGTCCAGCTAATTTCTTTCTATTTTTTTAGTAGAGATGGGGTCTCGCTCTTGCTCAGACTGGTGTCGAATTCCTGAGCTCAAATGATCCTCCCATCTTGGCCTCCCAGAGTGCTAGGATTATAGGCATGAGTCACAGCACCCAGCCCAAAACATAACATGTTGACTTTTACATTACCTTGTTTAAAAATCTTAACCCTTTCAAGGTTCCTGATAAAATCAGATTATAGCAGGGTAATCTGAAACTAATTCACACAGATATTAATTGGCTTACTCTTCCATGTAGTGTTAATATCTTTCAACAAAGGAAATTTCTTAAAAATCACAAATTAAGGTAAAGCAACAATATTTATGCAGGATTAGGAGTTGATGTTACAAAAATTTAAGCACATATTTCTTTTACAGTCAGGATATAATCAGAATTTTTTGTTTTGCTGTGAAGGAAGAAGATGTAAATATAAATGATTTAAAGCTGGAAATCCTTTGCAAAGCTCTTCAGAGAGATAAGTAAGTTCTTATAGCATGAATCTAAGATATGGTTTTGAAAGGGACTTTTCTTTAGGAAATGTGTGAAAAAAACAGTTTTTCGTTTGCTCTCAACCCACAACAATCAACACAGAAGACTTCTGTGACCAAATGTGTGGGTGAGTTTCCCCCCAGTCCCAAGCAAGCAGTGAATTCTGCAGCAGACACCAGCTGAGTGTCCTCTAATTCAGTTCAATTCTGACGCTGTCTACCTGGAAATAGCATCAGATCCCATAGGTCCTACAAGACTGCCCCCTACTTCTGATGCTAATCTGTACCCCAAGTGGTTTTACCTGTGCTTCTGACTGACTGGCTACAGATTGGGGTTCTCACAACCCCCTCCTTGGGTTTGATTGATTTGCTAGAGTAGCTCACAGAACTCAGGGAAACATGTTTACCAGTTTATTATAAAGGGTATTACGTAGGATACAGGTGAAGATATACCTAGGGCAAAGTATGGGGGAAGGGGTACAGAGCTATTATGTGCACTCTGAGTGAGCACCCCTCCAGGAACCTCCATGTGTTCAGGTATCAGGGAGCCCCTTGAATTCTGTCCTTTTGAGTATTTATGGAGGCTTCATTATGTAGACATGATTAATTAAACCATTGGCCATTGGTGATCAACTTAATCTTCAGTACCTCTACCCTCCCCAGAGGTTAGGTGGTGAGGCCAAACGTCTTAACCCTCTAATCCTGCCTTGGTCTTTCTGGTGAATAAGCCCCATTTTGTAGCTACCTAAAAGCTGGCAGCCTTTAGTCAATCATTAGAATACAAAAAGACATCACTTTGGAGATTCTGAGGATTTTAGGAATTGTATGCCAGGAAACTGCGAGGAAGACCAAATGTATATTTCTCAGTATCACAAGAAGATATGATATCATATGTGAAGTAGTTTTATAACCTTCTAATTATATTGTAACATATAACACATTGTGAAAATGTTAACGCTTAAATTTGTAAGCTTAAATTTTTAACTTAAAAATAGCTTAAAGACTTAGACCACTAAGTCCTAGGTATAATAAATCACTACTTGTTTTTTAGACAGAGTCTCACTCTGTCGTCCTGGGTAGAGTGCTGCGGTGGTGTCATCATAGCTCACTAGAACCTCATACGCCTGGAGTCAAATGATCCTCCTGCCTCAGCCCCCCCAGTAGCTGGGACTACAGGTGCATGCCACCACAGCCAGCTAATTTTTTCTATTTTTGATAGAGACAGGGTCTCATTCTTGCTCAGGCTGGTCTTGAACTCCTGACCTCAAGCAATTCTTATGCCTCGGCTTCCCAGGGTGCTAGGATTAGAGGCGTAAACTACCATGCCTGGCCAATCACTACTTTTGATTTTAAAATTTAGACTGTCAGTTTGTATAGAAATACATATGTTCCTTATTTATGCAGAAGTTGGGCCAGTTGTGCCAAACAAGACTTGAAACTACTTGTTTAAAAAAAAATAAAAAGTTAATGCAAGTTGAGGGGCAGGGCTGTTCTCTAAGTTATTAGGTAGGTCTTTCTCACAACCATCTCCTTTTTGCAGAGGAGGATTTCTGTCTATGGAAATGGTGTTTTATGTTATGATTCAATGGCAAAGAAAGACTAAGAATAATCAGTTGTAGGAATGGATTCTTTCCAGGAAAAGAATTTTAAAGGGAGCATGACTTGAATGCTTAAAGCCTTTTCCTACTCACAATTTTTCTTTTTCCTATGGTGAGAAATTACAGAAGAGGTATTTTTACTAAAGCATTTCTTCCCTCCTCTGATCACTCCCAAATAGTTAAAATTGCTGCTCAGTTGGTCTTAGAGGTCACCCTCTGAAGCATTAAGCTTTGTGCTGACATGATTTCTTGGTCCATCCCAGTCATACAAAAGGATGCTGTCGTTTTGACTGGAATTCCTTGTCTTAGCTTCTTGTTTAAAAATTCTTAAGGTATCATGTGGGATATGCACATTGATTACAAAGCAGTAGTTTTGTGTGTTTCTATTTTAGTGGTAGATAGTCCCAACCACATAAAGAAAGCTCCTCTTCTTATTTTATACCAGATACAGGTTGCTACTTCACTTTTTAGAAAAGCAGAATATGTTGTAATACATTGTAACTATTGTCTGTGCTCTGAAAGATTATACTTTGGGGTCCATACTAGATTTGTTACTTACTAATAGAATTTTTTTTTTTTTTTTTTTTGAGACAGAGTCTTGCTCTGTCACCCCAGGTAGAGTACAGTGGTGTCATCATAGCTCACAGCAACCTCAAACTCCTGTGCTCAAGCGATCCTCCTGCCTCAGCCTCCAGAGTAGCTGAGGCTATAGGCATATGCCACGACTCCTGGCTAATTTTTCTATTTTTACTAGAGATAGGGTCTTGCTCTTACTCAAACTGGTCTCCAACTTCCTGAGCTCAAGTGATCCTCCCGCCTCGGCCTCCCAGAGTGCTAGGATTACAGGCATGAGCCATTGTGCCTGGCTAAGATACTTCACTACTTGGTTTTTGAAATCAAATACATTTTGGTTATATTGGGTAACTAGCTACCAGAGTGTAGCATCTTATATCTAGTGTAGAGACTATTAAGTATATTGAACATTTAGAGCTCCTTTATTTAAATGATTTGAAATAGTTTCATAAAACTCAGATTCTCCATCCCCTACAGCCACCAAAACAACCACAATAGCAAACAGAAGTCATTTATTTCAGCTTTGTTGATGATTTCATTTTCCCCTCGTAATGATCTTATTTTCTAGCTGGTCCAGTTCAGATGGTAAAGATGATCCAATTGAAGTATCTAAGGATAGTATATTTGTGAAAATCTTACAGAAACTTTTGAAAGATGGTAAGTGGTTTGTTACTCTTGGAAATTATAATATCACTTCTCAGTTTTAGAAATTATAGAATAATGGGATCTAAAATGACAGGGGCATTTAAGATATAACAGTATTATACTCAAAATTAGATTTGTGTACAGTAAAGGGACTGCTTTTTCCCACCCTCTGCGCTTGGAGGAGCATATATCAAGGTGAAGTTCCCTTTCCTCTAGCTTCCTGGGTGACCGCAGGGGAACTTAGTCACCATGCTGATTCCTGATGAATGAGGAACACCAGTCAGGATTGCTGGGGCACAAACATTGGTTGTGACACTGAAACTCTATACTGGCAGAAGTAATTGTTTCCTTTTATTTTTCAGTTAACTCTTGTGTGAAGATTGAAAATTTGAAATGCGATATAAACTTTTTTTGTATACTCCCTACTAAATTGACTATACCATTCTTAAGAACAAACTAAAAAAACTGTTACAAATCCCTTTAGACATTAACATTCTAAAATTTAGTTTCTAAACAAAATAAAAAGAAACAAGGAGGGAGTATGTTTTGCACTTATATCTAAGGCAGCGAGCAAAATTCTGCTTGCTGATAAAGACACAAATAGGTAAAGATGGAAGCCATTCTTGTTCTTGAGGGAAGGATGGATTTGAGAAGACTGACTTTCACCACCTTTCATGCTACTGGGTACTTAAAATACGGAGAATGTTAGATAAGAGATAAGAAATGAGAGAATTTGCATACAGTAAAGTACAAATGGGTCTTCACTATATTTCCTGGGTCTTAAAATATGGAGAATGTTAGATAAGAAATGAGACAATTTGCACACAATAAAGTGTGACTCATTTATTATGGAATTATTAGATCAAAATATATGAAGCCAAAATCCAGGCAATATGCAAAAAAATAGACTAGCCTAAAGTTTTCTGATCTTTATAAGTACAAGAACACTATTTTTTTATACTATATTGTCTTTTTAAAATCTTTTATTTCAGCATATTAGAGGGGTACAAATGTTTTAGGTTATGTATATTGCCCTTGCCCCACCCAAGTTAGAGCTTCGAGCCTGTCCATCCCCCAGACGGTGCTCACTGCACTCATTAAGTGTGTGTATACCCATGCCCTCCTCCCCCCTCCCATCTGCCCGACACCCCATGAATGTTATTACTAAATGTGCACTTAAGTGGTGATTAGTTAATACCGATTTGATGGTGAGTACATGTGGTGCTTAAGGATACTATTTTTAATAGTAATTGGAAGAAACAAACTGTGACAAAAAGCTATTGTAAATTTAGTCCTTTAAATGATTGTGAATTTTTTTTTTGAGACGGAGTCTCACTTTGTTGACCAGGCTAGAGTGAGTGTCGTTGCATCAGCCTAGCTCACAGCAACCTCAAACTCCTGGGCTCAAGCAATCCTCCTGCCTCAGCCTCCTGAGTAGCTGGGACTACAGGCATGTGCCACCATGCCCGGCTAATTTTTTTCTGTATATATTAGCTGGCCAATTAATTTCTTTCTATTTATAGTAGAGACAGGGTCTCGCTCTTGCTCAGGCTGGTTTCGAACTCCTGACCTCGAGCAATCCACCCACCTCGGCCTCCCAGAGTGCTAGGATTACAGGCGTGAGCCACCGCGCCCGGCCATGATTGTGAATTTTATTCATCATGTTGACATTTACATACATTTGAATATTTTCTATACATATATCTGCCAGATACATTATTTCATCTACATAAAACATGCCCAGGCCATTGCTTGGCACATAGTAGTTGCTCAGTAAACATTTGTTCTTGAATATGTAGAATTATTTGCAGATTCAGAGCCCCAACTCCTCTGTACTTGATTCTATTCCCTCTCCTCCTCCCCCCTCTGTTGACAGTCCTCCATTTTGGACTCATCAGCTTAACCAAGTGACATGAAGGGGCCCTCAGAGAAGTACTGTGGAATTAACCACGCAGATTAATTTCCGCAGATCCTGTTCCGAGATAGAGAAGCAAACTCTGTGTGTTCCAGAAGCTTTCATTTGAGAGTCTATTGATCTCCATGAATTACTTTTCAGATTTTGTCTCCTTTTATAGCTGATTCAATTCCATAACTAATTACTTGAAACTCAGTCAGAATTGGCAAATGGACACTTGATCACCCTATATAGGATATTTAATGAGTGCTTTTGATTTCAAAAATGAGTAAATAACGGTAAGGTTAATTAAACCTTTTAATTGTCAAAAAATTAAAATTAAAAATTAAATATGAAGAGATATAGCAAAAGGAAATAATCTTTTGCTTTTGCTGGAAAATATTTCAAATTCAAGAAGAGCTAACATATATCTATAAAGCTTTCCCTTTTCTTTAAAGAAATAATTGGATATGGTTGATTTCTCTGCCCTTGTTAGCGATATTCTCCAATTGAGCCTCATAGATTATTAGAATGCATTTGGACCCAAATCTGATGATTTTCTTAAAGTAGATGCTTGGAAAAGTGCCACAGAACTGAATTGCATATAATTAAGAGTATAGCACTAATATTTCGGGGTGACTTCACAGTTTTTGCTGTTCTTAATAGATAAAACAGGTGGAAAACAGGCATGGAAAGTCATAGTTTTATAAAAATAATTACTAAATTTTGACCAAAGGACAAAAACTAGTATAGAAACTTTTATAGAAATAAAAAGTATGTATATTTATTATAACAACAGGCAAAAGACATTTATTTTTGGAACCGTTTTGATAATATGGCTTTCATGTACAATAATAAATGTTTTCAAAGGACAGATTCTGAAAGTAGGGAGCTATGTATCACCTCACATTATATTTCATAAGCTTTGATGGCCCAACAGTTACTTCAGCCTATGGGATGAATTCATCCTGCAGACATATTTAAATGACCACATGGTTTGCTTTTACATGTTACCTGAAGTATATTATACATGTAGCTATGGTCCCCAACCCCTGGGGGTCACTGAATGCTACAGGTCCATGGCCTGTTAGGAACTGGGCTGCACAGCAGAAGGTGAGCAGAGAAGCCCTTCATCTGTATGTACAGCTGTTCCCTGAGGCTCGTACCACGTATAAGCTTCGCCTCCTGTCAGATCAGCTGCCGCCTTAGATTCTCATAGGAGTGCAAACCCTGTTGTAAACTGCACGCACCGTAGATCTAGGTTGTGCACTCCTTGTGAGAATCTAACGCCTGATCTGAGGTGGAGCTGAGGCGGTGATGCCAGCACTGGGGAGCGGCTGCAAATACAGATTCTCATTAGCAGAGAGGTCTGACTGCACAATAAATATTATTTACTTGAATCATCCCAAAACCATCCCTCCCAACCCCACTCCCCGTCTGTGGAAAAATTGTCTTCCATCATGAAACTATCCCTGGTGCCAAAAGGTTGGGGGCTGACTGCTCCATATCCTTACATGGAGTTTAAATTTGTTCCTAGTTATCAACATTTAACAGTTAAGAATAGTTCTTCCGGGCGCGGTGGCTCACGCTTGTAATCCTAGCACTCTGGGAGGCCGAGGCGGGCGCATTGCTCAAGGTCAGGAGTTCAAAACCAGCCTGAGCGAGACCCCGTCTCTACTACAAAAAATAGAAATTAATTGGCCAACTAATATATATATATATATAAAAATTAGCCGGGCATGGTGGCACGTGCCTGTAGTCCCAGCTACTCGGGAGGCTGAGGCAGTAGGATTGCTTGAGCCCAGGAGTTTGAGGTTGCTGTGAGCTAGGCTGACACCACGGCACTCACTCTAGCCTGGGCAACAAAGCGAGACTCTGTCTCAAAAAAAAAAAAAAAAAAAGTCATTTTCTGATTTCTTGAAAATCAAAGATCTGCCTACCCCAGACTAAATATTTCTATGGCAGCAGTCAGCTGGAGCTGGGTCATTGGCTCTGAGTTTTACCAAGATGCCCCTTGGCCACCTGTATTCATGTGGACCCTGTTACCTGCCCAGCCTTGGCAGGCATTGGAGTTTCAAGCCCTGCTCTAAAGAAAAGAAACCATCAGAACAGAAGGCATGCACTTTAAGAGTCAAATTGCATGTTAAGTTTTTTTTAGAGAATTGATCTTTTAGAAATTAATGTGATGTCTTTATAAGTGTAATAATACTTTACAGAGAAGTAGTTATTGAAAGTGCTAATCATAATAAATGATATACAGATGTTTCAAATTTGGCCTCATTACATTAATTAACCCAGATTTTTATTGTATAACAATTAAGTACAAAAAATGATGCTGGGCACTTTGAGGATACTTTTTTAAAAAGCAGTATTTGATTTTTAGAACCTTATGGTAATATAACAAATTATAAATATTATTTGCTTATTAATTAAAAAATTTCCTCCAATTTTGTCAAATGAGAAAATTGTATATACTTTTTTGTAGCTACACAGATCTCAACTTAGTCCATTTAGTTACTGTTCATTGGCCTTCCAATTCTATGTATGAGCTGTGAAGAAATAAATCTTTTGCCTATCTAATTTTAGACTTAAACTGTAATACATTTTGAGATACTATGGCTAGCTTTCACAATAGTGTTTCTCTACCACATTTATTTCCCAAATAAGAGAACATGTAATTGTTTGAAATACTTGTTTTCAAGTTAAATTATTAGTAAAATAATTAGTAAAAAAAACTAACAATTATTAGTTAAAAACTTCTACATTGATGGTATGTGGGAAAGATTAAATCTTTCAGATCTAGTTAAAGACTTTAAATAGAATGTCTATTTTGACCACTAGGGGGAAAACATTCAAGCAGCTTCTGAAGAATGTCACATTGTTAGACTTGAAAGTATGTTTGACAGATGGAAGGAATTTAGAAGAGTGTGTTTCCCAAGAGCAAAGTGACATTATATTTTAAATAGAAACACAGGTGTTTTTATCATCAGTCATCATAATTTATTTGGGAGTTTTATAAAAATAAAAAACAACTTTTTTTGTTTGTGTTCATAGGCATTCAGCTCAGTGAATACTTACCGGAGGTGAAAGACCTACTACAGGCAGATCAGCTTGGAAGCTTAAAGTTCAATCCTTACTTTGAGTTTGTTTTAAAAGCAAATTATGAATATTATGTTCATGGACAAATGTAACTTTTTCTAAAAGTGGTCATTGTTTCTGAAATTTAAGTGTGTCCTTATAAAAAATTTTAGGCCTTAAACAATTAAAAGTTTGTACAATTTTATAACATGTATAGCTGAGTTTTTTATACTTTGTAAGGAAGCTGACATAAAATAGTTATGTAACTATAATTTTGGTTTTCAGTTATGACATTTTATTTCCTCCTTTTTTCTACCTGAAATTTGTCACTTGTTATTCGTGTGCTTGTTACTGTTTCTTTTCACTCTCACTTGGCCCATGGCTCTGGTGTCCTTGTCCTGGTTCTGGCTACTTGTATGTACAAATCACATGGAGCTTTTAGAGTTTTTATAACTCTAAAAATTACAAGATTGTACTAGATTGTCTCTGAAATTGCTGTGACTCTGGATGTTGTATACCAAAGAGAATCTAGTGTGTTTGGTGACCAAAATAAATTTGGGCTAATGGGAAATATGTAGTAAGATAAATGTCAAAATTTTGCTGCTTTATCATGGGCCAAAAAACCAAAGCAGAGAGGGCCTAACTCATATGAGCTTGATAACTGATGAATTCATTGGGAACATTTAACATTTTTCTACATAAATGAGTATTAATGAAAGTATTTTAGTGAATAAAATATTTATGTGGCAAGTTTATAGTATTAGGGCTGGTTGTAATCTTTCAGTCTGGGGATTTGGTCATCCTGTGTTTTTTCAGAATGATTTTCCCTGCACTGCAGCTTTGCCACGTCTGCCTAGCTAGTCAAAAGCATGAGTGATACTAGAAACCATCGTGCGTTTTCCTACCGTGGCAGTTGAGGGGCCTGAAAAGGTAATGTTCTCTCAGAGCGTCTTTGTCCTGACAGTGTCATCACACAGGGTTTATCTGGCTTTAAATAAAAACTTCCTTGCACAGGGAGTTGTTGGCATGTTCACAGTTTGGCCCAGTTGAATGCTCACTAACCAGTTTGCTCCAACAGCTGAAAAGGTCAGAAGTTAAACGTGGTGAAGAGAGTCCGGTTGCTGGTCTCACGAAGTGCAGCCATCATGGCCTCTCCGTGGCAGGCTGGAGCGCGTTTGGAAGAGCAGATTAATGGAACCGTTTATGTTAATCAACGGAAGGAAATTAGCAGCCTGGTCTTTTTCTCTTTGCAGCTTTCATGTTCAGACAGCATTAGGATCCGGGGTAGGAATATATTGATGGATCTGAGAGAAGTTAGGAAGAGCAGCTTGTCGGAAGGCCAGTCAGAAACCACTGAGTACTTGTGTTACGAAACGAGGCTCTGCTTTTACATAGACGTTAACTGTCAGTGTTCAGTTCTCACTGTCTGACTGTCTGACGCTGTCAGGTGATAATTGCTCTGGGACGCGCAGGCTCCTGCCATCTTCATGTGCTGCCACAAACCTAATTATCCCTGGTGTAACAGAAAAACACCACAGGAAAGCCAATCTAATAATTCCTCGGACCCACAGATTTCATGATGTAGAACAATTGCTATTATGGTGTGAGGTAAAGTCATCTTTCTTTTTTTTTTTTTTTTTTTTTTGAGACAGAGTGTCATTCTGTTGCCACAGCTAAAGTGCCATGGCATCAGCCTAGCTCATAGCAACCTCAAACTCCTGGGCTCAAGTGATCCTCCTGCCTAAGCCTCCCGAGTAGCTGGGACTACAGGCATGCGCCACCATGCCCGGCTAATTTTTTTTTTCTATATATTTTTAGTTGGCCAATTAATTTGTTTCTATTTTCTTGGTACAGACGGGGTCTCCTCTTGCTCAAGCTGGTTTCGAACTCTTGACCTCAAACGATCTGCCCGTCTCAGCCTCCCTGAGTGCCAGGATTACAGGCGTGAGCCACTGCACCCGGCCCGAGTCATATATTTCGAGGGAGGAAAATGCTGACTCTTCCAGCTCTATTTCTTATAATCAGTAATATACACCAAATGGTTTGGTTTTTAACAATTATATTAATAGAATGAAATTAAGACCTAGGGTTTTGAATATTTTTTTCTTCTGAATTTAAAAAATTGGTTTTACAACATAAGTCTTCATCAAAGAATTATAAATGATTTTTGTGTAAGTCCAGTAACTGATAAAAACTATATGGTGCTGTGTGACGTATTTTCCATAGGAAAAGACACTTTACTGACTTGGAAAAGGTTCATGGCCACCACCCCTGTCTTTGCTGCTCTGAGAGTCCCAGTGTGGGGCGTTGACAGGAAGGCGTTTTGTATCTGGAGCAGAAGAAAGTGTATAGCAAGCATGTGTACTGACATGTTTTGAGGATTTGTGAACATAATTGTGTCAAGGATTATGGCAGACTAGAGATATACACAGTGACAATCCTGACACCTCTGTTTGGAGGCTTTTGTTTTTGAAGATTGGATTGTGTTTCTTTTTTTACTCTGTGGTCAGAATCATAGTTTTCCAAATATATCACCTACCAAGCATGCTAGGGACTGTCTGTAGGAACTGGGGTGTTTGGCACAGCTCTTTGAAGCAGGCTGCCTTCCCCAGTACTGACAGCTCACTTCTTATGCTCTTACAATCCCGAAAACCTGGACATCTTGAGGTGAACTGCAAAAATAGTAGTGTAACCCTGCCTACCTGTTCCTGGACATTTTATCCTGAGAATGCCCGAAGAGAGAATAACTTTATATATTCCTGTGTAAAAAGATCTACTCATTAAATACCAAAGTACATTTTTTAAGATGTGTAATCCTAAATTTTAAAAAATATCGTAGAAAATGAGAATCCTAGTTAAAAAACAAACAAAAAAAAAAAACCCCTGTAATCCCACCAACCAAAAAATAAGTTCAGTTTCCATTCTGACATATATCTTAGAATGTTTTGGATTTTGTAATCTACTTTTTCATGTGAGATTGGGAGCATTTTTCTGTGTCCTCAGTTTTTTGTTCCTCAGCCTTTTTTTTCTTTCCATTATCATCCCTCCTAAGGACTCTTTTTTAGATGGTTTCTCCTAATCACTTCCCACCTCAATGAAAGCTTAACACCACAGACCTGCCATACTGTCTTTTCATGTACTGTGGCCTTTGGAGGCCACAAATCATGATAATATGTAAGTTTTCTCTTCACTCCCTAAGAACCAATTTTTGTCCCTTTTGAGAATGCACATCTGAAATATTCTTCAAAATATGATTTTTAATGACTGCATAATACTTTACCATATGACTGGACCACATTTGACAGCCCTCACTTTTCTTTCTCTCAATCTCTCTGAAAAATTAAAATGTGGGTTATTGAACGGTTCTTGTTGCCATTTTAAATAATGCTAGAATAGATCTTCATACAAAAATCTTTGTGTACTCCAAATACATTTGAGATGCCTGACTCTTCCTGTTGAGTCGTGATGACATTGCTGTGCATATAGTGGGCATTCCCAATACCTTCAGTATTCTTTACTCAGCTCTCCTGCTATCTCGCCCCTCATACCTCCTCCAAACCTTTGGTTGCTAGAAGAAAGATGTGGTATCATATGCGGAATGTTTATTTCCCAGGCACTTACCTACCTAGTTTCAATCCTCTAGTCTTCAGGAATAGGTCCTATTGTCAAGTTGGGAATGCTGAGTCTTTGTGGGAGTGACTTGCCCAAGGTCACATAGCCAGTCAGAGGGGAAGGTAAATCCAGATCTGCTTGTCTCCAAAGTGCAAGCTTCTAACCAATTCATTACACCGGGTATATAAAAGCTGGTTAGTGAGGGGGCACGGCTCCTTTGGGCTCTGTCTCTGAGACATGGCCACTAGTGAGAATGCCAGCTTCAGAAATAGAAAGGAGTAGAGAATCCAAGCCCTCTCTGCGACTTCCAGGAGTTGACTCAACATTTTTAGATGTGTGGTTTGTGAGGAGAATAAGTTTGCTTTTCCCTTCGTCCCCCTGGTCACTGGAGTGTTTCGACTTTGAGTGTAGCCACCCAGCCCCTCGCTATTCTTTTTGAGACCGTAGGTGATAGTTGCTGGTGAAGCCGTGACTTTTCATCTCATTGGAAGAGATCCGCTGGGGGTCTGTTATGGGTCTTGAACTGTACCGGGTGCTGGGGAAGAGGAAACAAAGAAAGCAGTCCTTGCCCTGGCCACTCCTGGTAGGACAGCCCACGCCCCTGCTCCTCCACTGGCTGCTGAGGGACCTGGACTGTATTAAGCCTCAGTTTTGTTTGTTTTTAACTGGGATGAATGGTACCTATCTTTACCTCAGGACAGTTGAAAGGATTGATTGGAACATGAAAGCCTGTCAGAAAGTGTTTTACCAATTCATGTTTAAATTGACAGGAAACACTGTAGAGAAGGCTGAGCTGGAGCAAGATCCGGGTCTGGGCGTGTGCAGAGCTGAGGGGCCATGAGAGAAGGGACGTGTGAACTCCCCGTGTGAACTCCCCGGCTTAGTGGGAGAGGGAGAGCCCTGTCACTTAAAGAGCTGAGGCTGCACCTGAAAACTTAGAAGCAGGCACTCCCTGTCAAGCATACCCTGCGTGGCTGACCTTTACTTTGTGGTGGTTCTCAAAAGGCTGTGGGGGCAGCAAGGGCTTGCTTGCCCAGGGAGAGCGAGCACCACTGTGCTCCCCCAGAGCGGACATGTATGGAGACGCAGCTCCCCCCCCCCACGAGTTCAGCCTATTCTCTAAGCCAATGGGAGTTCAGCAAGACCAGAATGGGACTGAGGGTGGCCCATAGTGACCTGTCAGGGACTATTTAAACCAGCACAGTCATGTGGGCAGAGAACAGATGTCTGGACCCGCCTTCTCAGGGTCTGTCTCCCCCCCTCGCCCCCCCGGGTTTGCTGTCCTAGCAGATCTCCATTAGCGTGTGAAGTTTTGTCCACAGTCAGCTTTTAATGTGTTTGCATCTAACAGACTCAGCTTAGAAAAACTTCCTATAGGAGGAAAGGTAAGAGTTTAACTGAGGCCGGGCGCAATGGCTCATGCCTGTAATCCTAGCACTCTGGGAGGCTGAGGCAGGAAGATCGCTCAAGGTCAGGAGTTCTAAACCAGCCTGAGCAAGAGCGAGACCCCGTCTCTACTAAAAAAATAGAAATAGAAATAAATTAATTGGCCAACTAAAAATATATAGAAAAAATTAGCCAGGCGTAGTGGCACATGCCTGTGGTCCCAGCTACTCGGGAGGTTGAGGCAGGAGGATCACTTGAGCCCAGGAGTTTGAGGTTGCTGTGAGCTAGGCTGACACTAAGGCACTCTAGCCAGGACAACAAAGTGAGACTCTGTCTCAAAAAAAAAAAAAGTTTAACTGAGCAAGAATTTTGAAAGATAATGACAATGCCATTCTTCTTCATAATGTCGACACATGTTTAGGTGTCCAGTGAATGACAGCACATTTCTTCCTATCTCCAAGGCCCAAATTTAAGCTGTTTCCCTTAAATTAAATACAGTGCCCTTGCCAGGTGTCTCTAAGACCCACTGACACAGGAGAACACGACATTAAAAATGAAATACAGCTCTGTCAATCATTCACTTACTCTCCGAAATACGTGGGAAAGCTCAATATGAAATCACAGGAGCCTTTATACTCACTACATAGGCCCCAGATTAACCAAAGTCCTTGTTTTTTAATTGATCATTTTAAAGAAGATAGTATTATTTTAGGCCGGGCGCTGTGGCTCACGCCTGTAATCCTAGCTCTTGGGAGGCCGAGGCGGGCGGATTGCTCAAGGTCAGGAGTTCAAAATCAGCCTGAGCAAGAGTGAGACCCCGTCTCTACTATAAATAGAAAGAAATTAATTGGCCAACTGATATATATATAAAAAATTAGCCGGGCATGGTGGCACATGCCTGTAGTCCCAGCTACTCGGGAGGCTGAGGCAGGAGGATCGCTTGAGCCCAGGAGTTTGAGGTTGCTGTGAGCTAGGCTGACGCCACGGCACTCACTCTAGCCTGGACAACAAAGTGAAACTCTGTCTCAAAAAAAAAAAAAAAAAAAGATAGTATTATTTTATTCTCTAAAGTGCCTTCTTTAATACTCGTTTATTTAAGGAAGAGCTGTGTGATGCGGGCTACAGGGGAGGGTCACATATGCTTGTATATCCCCCTTTTAGAGAATCCACACCTGTCCCAGCTGCTGAGTTCCACCACCAAATGTGAATTGCCACTATTTTGGGAACACTTAAGCACATCAGAAAAATGAATGATTCCGTTCTGGCCCACACCACATCGCTGATGTACCCTACAAAAGCATGTCACTGAGTTCATCACAGAAGATTGTCCTCATGCCTTCCACAAGGTTAGAACTGTTCTGCCCCCAGAAGAAAAAAATATATATATATTGAGACAGGCACCAACTGAATAACCTCCCCTGACCTCCACTCCACCTTACCATAAGTAGATCCAAATCCTTCTAGAAAATCTGAAAGGCATAGCCCCATATATCAGTGATATAAATAGAACCTGCAGCAGGCTCTGGTAGGTGATGACTCTCCAAGGTGGACTGGAAGCAGCCCGACCTTGGCAGACATCAGCCTCTAAATATAAAGATGAGTTTGTTCAGCCTTCGTGCAAGGAAAAACTGCTACCTATCTAAGAGTGCAGTGTCCTTGTCCTCTTTACTGGGAGGAAGGACAAACAAAGCATCTAGTAAGAGCCCCTCACCCACTTCCACCTCCATCACCTCCAGGTCTAGCAAGTCGTGGGTTGTGACCCTTGTCTTTCAGCCCCAGTTGAGGACACATGTAGTAGACACCACCAAGGAGGTGGGGGTAGAGCATTCAGCTCTGCCCATCTGGGACCGGTCTGTCCTGGAGGAAGGGAACCTCTTACCTCCCTGGGCGTTCCAGAAGGTGCCTGACCGCTGACTTCCCAATTTCACCCCTCATTTGGGTTCCTATTCAGACCCCCAAGTGTGGCTACCAGGAGGAGGAAGCGGCGTCTTGGGAAGACGGAAAAGCAGCCACTCCCTGAGCCTCAGGCAGGAAAGGCAGGCTAGACTCACCCCTTCCCTCCCTTCAGGAGCGCCCCCAGCGCGCTCTGCGGCGTGTCACCGCGGGGGACAGCTCCGGGTGCCCTGGCTTTGCGCCTGACAGTGCCAGAGCCACCGCCCAGGCCTGTCCCCGGGAGTCCCCGCGCCTCCTCTCTGCCGCCCCGCCCTCGCCCTCGTGTCCCGCCGCCAGTTGTCCTGCGACAGCTGCGCGCCCTCCGGGGCCGCAGTGGCCCTCTGCGGTGGGGGAGGGATCGACGTGGGTCAGGCCCCTGGACTGGGGCGCGCGGGATGGAGAGGGAGAATGGAGTTCACAAACGGGCGAGAGTCGCGCCTGCCTTCCCTGCCTGAGGCTCAGGCAGTGGCTGCTTCTCCAGTCTTCCCAAGACACGGCCCCCTCGTCCTGGTAGCCGCACGTGGGGGGTTGGGGGTCTGAATAGGAACCCAAACGAGGGGTGAAATACGGAAAGTCAGAGGTCAGGCACCTTCCGAACGCCCAGTGCGCGCAGCGAGGTCAGGGATGGGGCGGCCTTTGGGACAGGTGCAGCTCCTGGGGCACAGGCGCACTCCGTGACCCTCGCCCCACCCCAACCCCTCCAGCCGGCAACCGGGCCGGGCTGGGAGGGGCAGACCAGCCAGGGAGACACTCCATATACGGCATGGCCCGGCGTTACCTGGGCCTAGGCCAGCCGGCTCCTTCTTTGGTCAATGCAGGGGACCCGGGCCGGGGCCCAGGCCGCAAACCAGCGGAGGGAGGGGGCTCTGGTGCCCAACACCCAAATATGGCTCGAGAAGGGCAGCGACATTCCTTCGGGGCGGCGCGGAGGGAGCGCCCGCGGGCTATATAAAACCTGAGCTGAGGGACAATCGGCCACCGCAGCGGACAGCGCAGAGTGAAGCCTCGCTTCCCTCCCACGGCGACCAGGGCCCCAGCCGAGAGCAGCAGGTGTAGCAACCCGCCCAGGTAGGGCGGGAGTGGGGAGCGTACAAGGGGACAGGGAGCCACCGAGGGGAACCCGAAGGACTCTAGGGCAGAGCCCAGCAGGCTCACCTGACGCGCCCCAGGCCTGCGCCCTGCGCTCCGTGCCTCCTCCCCAGAGCCACATGCGCTTTAAAGAAGGGACAAGACGATCAGCCTCTGGAAATTAGACTTCTCCAAATTTGTCTCTAGCCCTTTTGGGCTGCTCTACCTGGCACTCGGGGTGTGCCTAGAGAGAGCGACGGTTTTGCTTTAGTTGTCCGGAGGGCAGTTCCCTTCCAAAGGGACGGTAGTGCCATTCCGCCCTTGGTTCAACAAGAGAAAGGCTCCCTTTCTAACTTTGAAATGTTGTGGGGGTCTGTACTGCAGAGGCCATTCCTCCCTGGATGGAGTGCCAAAGCACTCCCACGGGCATCTCCTTCCACTTCACACTCGCCCAGCGCCAGACAGCAGCTCAGGCCTCAACCCCCTACTTGACAGATATGGCCACCAGGGCGCAGACAGGATGGGCACTAGCGACTAGCTTTTAGATATGGCCACCAGGGCTCAGACAGGTTGGGCACTAGAGACTAGCTTTTGGAACAGGTGGCCTCCAGGGAAGGCAGAGAGGTCTTGGGGAACATGTATGCCTGGGTACGGGGGGTGGGGGATTTGTCAGTGTGGCCTTGCCACCTGTGCCCCTCTTCCTGGTGCAGAGCAGCCTTGAGCGTGGTGGAAGCTCTGGTGGGGGCCCATGGCCGCTCCCCTGGCAGGATGTGCGCGGCTGGGATTGAGGGTGCCCCTAGGTCCCTACGGAGGGAGGGCACTCGACTGTCCAGGCCTCTCCTCCGCTGCCCAGGCTCCTGCGCTGATGCGCTGTGCCGTGCATCTGCCCGATCTCCCTGTCCTTGCAGAAACCAGACACCATGTGCGACGAAGACGAGACCACCGCCCTCGTGTGCGACAATGGCTCCGGCCTGGTGAAAGCCGGCTTTGCTGGCGATGATGCCCCTAGGGCCGTGTTCCCCTCCATCGTGGGCCGCCCCCGCCATCAGGTCAGGCTGCCCCCTGCAGAGGGAGCCCTGTGGGGGTCCCTGCCTAGCTCGCCCCTGTGTCTCCCGGAGCTGTGTTAACATGTGCATGGTGTCTCCTCTCCGCAGGGCGTCATGGTGGGTATGGGTCAGAAAGACTCCTACGTGGGCGACGAGGCTCAGAGCAAGAGAGGTATCCTGACCCTGAAGTACCCTATTGAGCACGGCATCATCACCAACTGGGACGACATGGAGAAGATCTGGCACCACACCTTCTACAATGAGCTCCGTGTGGCTCCCGAGGAGCACCCCACCCTGCTCACCGAGGCCCCCCTCAACCCCAAGGCCAACCGTGAGAAGATGACTCAGATCATGTTTGAGACCTTCAACGTGCCTGCCATGTACGTGGCCATCCAGGCCGTGCTGTCCCTCTATGCCTCCGGCCGTACCACCGGTGAGTGCCAGCGGAGCCCAGGCCTCGGGCTGAGCGCTCCCACCCGCGGCGCCCGCCCCTCCCCCTCCCCGGCGCCCTAGGCCCCGAGCGCCGGTCCCAGCAGCAGACGCTCACTCGCTCACTCGCTGTCCCACCCGGCACAGGCATCGTGCTCGACTCTGGCGACGGTGTCACCCACAACGTGCCCATCTATGAGGGCTACGCCCTGCCACACGCCATCATGCGTCTGGACCTGGCCGGCCGCGACCTCACCGACTACCTGATGAAGATCCTCACTGAGCGTGGCTACTCCTTCGTGACGACAGGTGCGCCGCGCCCCGGGCACCCTGGGCGGGAGGACTGGCGGGCGCAGGCCCCAGGGGTCGGGCGCTGAGGGCTCCTCTCCTGCTTCTGCCCTCTGCAGCTGAGCGCGAGATCGTGCGCGACATCAAGGAGAAGCTGTGCTACGTGGCCCTGGACTTCGAGAACGAGATGGCAACAGCCGCCTCCTCCTCCTCCCTGGAAAAGAGCTACGAGCTGCCCGACGGGCAGGTCATCACCATCGGCAATGAGCGCTTCCGCTGCCCGGAGACGCTCTTCCAGCCCTCCTTCATCGGTGAGCCCCGACCCGGGCCCCTCGGGTCCTCCCGGGTCCCTGCTGTCCCCGCCACGCCGCCGCCCCGCGCCGGTCCCCTCCGTCCCGCCTTCGCGCGCTCCTGCTCACGCTCCCCACCCCCGCGGGCCCGCAGGTATGGAGTCGGCGGGCATCCATGAGACCACCTACAACAGCATCATGAAGTGCGACATCGACATCAGGAAGGACCTGTACGCCAACAACGTCATGTCGGGGGGCACCACCATGTACCCTGGTATTGCAGACCGCATGCAGAAGGAGATCACGGCGCTGGCCCCCAGCACCATGAAGATCAAGGTGGGCGGCGGCCCGCACCGGGTGCCCGCGGGGTGGGCTGGGGGGGCGCAGCCTCCTCCAACACGACCCTTGTCTTGCAGATCATCGCCCCACCTGAGCGCAAGTACTCGGTGTGGATCGGCGGCTCCATCCTGGCCTCGCTGTCCACCTTCCAGCAGATGTGGATCACCAAGCAGGAGTACGACGAGGCGGGGCCCTCCATCGTCCACCGCAAATGCTTCTAGACGCCTCCACCTCCGCGCACTCTCCCCAGGACGACAGATCGGCTCACCTCGAGCCCCTGCGCAGCAACTCTGCGACAACTTCCGTTGCTGCCACCACAATCCGACACAGTGTTTATACCGTGTACATACATTAACTTATTTTACCTCATTTTGTTATTTTTCAAAACAAAGCCCTGTGGAAGGAAATGGAAAACTTGAAGAAGCATTAAAGTCAATCATTCTGTTATGCTGCCTAAAGTTGCTTGTTGTGTTTATTTGCGGGGGGGGGACCCACATGCTCCCATCCTCTCAAGCCCCTTTTTGCAATACTCCAAATGACTGTGCTCCTGAGCAAAATTACGTCTTCCCGCGTTCCCTCGCCGGCTCCCTCGGGATCAGATCCGTTCCCAGACACTGGCAGGCCCGTCGTGGCCCGCTGTAGCCCACCGTGGCCTGGCCTGCCCGCTGTGACCTGCCGTGACCTGCCGTGCCCCTCCCTGCCCGCCGTGGCCTGCCCTAGCCTTCCTTGCAAGCCCAGCCCGTCCCCTGGCCTGCGGGGCGGCGTCTGTCTTCCTCCCCGCGGCGCCGCGGACCCAGGCGTCGCCGGGGCGGGCGTGGCGGGCGCTGGCCGTGGTGCTGGCGGGAGCTGTCCCTCAGAGCGGCCCCGCTGCTCCTGCGGTGTCCGCTCCTAAACCTCCAGCTCTAACGGAGAGGGTTGCGTTCGGCATTTAAAACACCAGTTTCAATTTGTAAGTGCAGACAACCACTTTCTCCTGGACACTGGAAAGTCCTTCGCTGCGTGCCGGGTGTGCTGGTTCGAAGGAGCGCCCTTCCCGCACGAGCCCGGGAAGGGCCTGGCCAGCGCTCCAGAAAGGACAGCGGGTGCTGGGCGGCAGACACTGAGGACAGCCAGCAAAGAAGGCTCTGGACAGTGGGAGGTGACGCAGGCGCTGGAAGAAGAGGTCAGCCGGGGAGGAGGGCACCTCCCCAGTGCTTTAGAGGCACAAAATATATTAACAGAGTCTGACTTTCTATGGGAGTGCACAATGCCTATTTTTTTTAAAAAGTAGCTTAAGGTGTCTCAGCTAAGGTTCTCAAGAGCAGTGGCCCCTAAATAAAACAGATTCTCCCTCAAAGAAGGTAATAAACCCATTTGGGAATAAGTGTGGCGTTAGAGCTGACCATACAGCTATGTTCTGTGCCGCAAAGTCCCATGTTTATTCCTTCTTTTCTGGACTACTGAAAAACTTCAGAAATATTTGAGGCCTCCAAGGCAGCGATTCTGCCAAATCCAAATATCAAGAGAATTGGCAATATAGTAAAATTTAAGACTTTAATAAAACAAGTACACAATACCACGTCCACTGAAAACCATGTAATATTGCCCCATCCAGGGTAGATGAAGGTTAAAAATGGGCTATATTCTGAAGGTCTTTCAGAGAAATCCAACTTTTGTTGACAATACTAAACACACACAGACATATCTGATATGATAATACATAACCATATTGATAGGACTAAATATACATAGGCATATCTGAGCAACCACAACACATATATGCACAGCATGAATAATTTGTTCATGTAGCCAGCAGCCTAGTAAAATGTCAGTATTGGATATGTTAGCTGGCTGCCATGCTAAACATTTTTGAAATCACTAGAACCCCAAATCACATAATTGAGATTTAAGTAAGAATATGTAAGGAGGTAATGACCCATTTCTCCTGTAATCATAATTGGTAAATGACTCATAATATTTTAGAACTGACAGAAGTTTCCTATATAATCTGATAACATTTCCTCAAGCACCAATCAATTTTAAAAAACCTACTTTTGACATCACTCTTCCACTAAAAATAAGCACAAAAATTATGAATCATGTGGTTTCACTGGAAATGCACTAAATCTAAAATTACCCTTTCTGACACTTCTCTGAAAAGAAAGAAGCATCTTATATCTTTCCTACTCTCATATAAGGTTGTGATTATAGATAGTTGGTAAATTGTGTTACCTGTATTAGGTCTGAAAGAGGATCTTTTTTGGCATGGTGTGGCAGAAGCAGCCACAGGGTAGCCTGACATGAGTGAGGAACAGGGGAGGCTTCACCAAGGCCAACCCTGTCACACAGGAAGCTGGAGGGCCTGTCATTGGGTGGAAGGAGCCCTGAGCCCTCGACTGACCCTGTCTCCCTTATTCATTTCTTAATGTTTAACCTGATAGTGAACAGTTTCTGGGGGTGATGAGTAAGCGACGAGCAATTGAAAGGGAAATTTTGAAGGGTGCAAAGATGATGATGGAGGGTCTCATAGGTGTGAATAGAATCGGGATTGCTTTCTGCATGACAATCGTTGGGGTTTCTTAAACCTTGTCACTCTGCAAAGAGGTGCTGGCCACTGGGTTGGCCTCAGGAATAGTGGACCCCTTGTACATCATGGGGTGAGGGCAACAATAATGCCTTTGGACTCTTATCCCACCCCACCTCCTCCAGTTTCCTGCATGTTACCTGTGTTACATTCTTCCAGCTGCTGTAACAAAGTACCACACAATGGGTGGCTTCGAACAACAGGAATTTATTCTGTCATGGTTCCTGAGGCCGGAAGTCTGAGATCCAGGTATTGGTAGGGTCCTTCTTCTTTTTTTTTTTTTAAACAGAGTTGTCCAGGCTAGAGTGCCATGGCAGCAGCCTAGCTCATAGCAACCTCAAATTCCTGGGCTCAAGCAATCCTTCTGCCTCAGCCTCCCGAGTAGCCGAGACTACAGGCATGCCACCATACCCAGCTACTTTTTGCTGTATATTTTTAGTTGTCCAATTAATTTCTTTCTATTTTTAGTAGAGACAGGGTCTTGCTCTTGCTCAGGCTGGTTTCGAACTCCTGACCTTGAGCGATCCTCCCACCTCGGCCTCCCAGAGTGCTAGGATTACAGGCGTGAGCCACTGTGCCTGGCCAAGGTAGGGTCCTTCTTAAGGCTTTGAGGGAGCATCTGGCTCCTGCCTCTCCCAGCTTCTGGTGTTGCCAACAATTCTTGACATCTTTTGGCTTGTAGATTCCTCACTCCAATCTCTGCCTCATCACCACATGGCCCTCCTGTGTGTATCTCTGTGTGTTCATTTGGGTTTCCTATTCTTCTGTTAACAGAAAAAAAAGGCAAATTCTGTAAAATAATTTTAAAGAGATTTATTATGAGCCAAATTTGAGGGCCATTGACCCAAAGCCACACCCAAGAAGTCTTGAGCAAGCAGACTTGCTGCTGGTCAGGTTAATAGTTTGATTTTATACATTTCAAGGAGACGGGTCACAGGTAAAGTCATAAATCATATGTGGGAGCATTGTGTTAGCTCAAAAGGTAAAACAAAGGAGGGAGGGCTTACAGGTGATAGGTAGATTTAAAGTTTCTTTGACTTGTAATTGGTTAAAGACAAGAAGTTTTGTCTAAAGGCTTGGAGTGTTTTAAGATAAGGAGTTGTTTATCAGAGACAAATCACCCTGATATGTATTCATTGTGTAAATTGAGGACCTGCAGGTTTGTCTTGCATACTCTTAAGCCTATTGAGGGGTTATAAAGGATGTCCCCAAGAAGTGGGGGGTGGGGGCATGAGGAGGCAGGTCTGACCTCCCTTCTTGTGGCAGGCAATTTAATTTTGGGATATCCCCTTGGCTAAGAGGGGTCCATTCAGTCAGCCCATGCGGGGGTGGGGGAGCCTTAAGATTTTATTTTAGTTCATACTTCTTAACATTTTTTATGCCTGTTATGCCATAAATTCATAGGGAACAGGTTCCAGCAGGTCTGGCTTCTTCCCGTTTGGCTCTCACCAAGTGTGCTTCTCAGGGTGGAGCCCACTGGGCTGGAGCTTCAGTGAGAGGCAAGTAACTTTCTCTTTGGCTCCCTTCTTTTTACTGATCACTTTCCTCCATGTGTTTCAAGAATGTATATTAGCTCTTAGGATGCTTAATATGCCTAATACCCACATTAATTCGCTTGGCAAGAATCTTGCCCTTAACTTGTTCGCTTGCAATGACAATGCCACCAGCATACTAGGGAACATTATAGACTTTTCCAGCTTTGCCATGGTAACCGCTGTGGGACATTTCCTTTTGAACGCTATCCATTTCCTTGACGCCTACGGTACCACTTCTCTTATAGATTAGCATGTATGTGGACAAAGGAACAACTCTGTTTTCTAAAAAGCCTAGAGCAGTGGTCCCCAAACTTTTTGGCACCAGTGACTGGTATCATGGAAGGCATTTTTTCCACCACCTGGGGGGAAGGGAGGTGCAGCTCGGGAGGCGGGAGGTGATGTGACCGATGGAGACAGTAATGGGGACAGTGGCTGTAAGTGCAGATGAAGCTTTGCTCACTCAGCCTCTGCTCGCCTCCTGCTGTGTGGCCCAGTTACTAGCAGGCCACAGACCAGTAGTGGTCTGCAGCTCAGGGGTTGGGGACCGCAGGCCTAGAGAACATGTATTGGGTGTCTCTCCTTTTCCCCTTTGTGGTCATCATTTTGGTGAATTACGGGAAGATGGTGGTTCTGGCCAAAAGGCTCACATGGTCTTCTTTTAAGGATACCAGTCATTGAATTTAAGGTCCACCTAAATCCAGGATAATCTCATCACAGGATCATTACCCTAAAGACATCTGCAATGAGCCTTATTCTAAGTCAGATCACAGTCTGAGGTTTCAGGTGGGCATACCTTTTAGGAGGCGTATTAGTCTGCTAGGGCTATCATAACAAAGCAGCACAGACTGGGTGGTTCGCGGCTTAAATGACATAAACTTATTTTTTCATAGTTCTGGAGGCTGGAAGTTTGAGATCCAGGTGTTAGCAAAGCCAGTTTTTTCTGAGGCCTCTCCCCTTGGTTTGCAGATGGCCACCGTCTCTCTTCATCCTCGCGTAGTGTATCTGTGTGTACCCCTCTGTTTGTATCTGTGTCCTGATCTTCTCTCCTTGTAAGGACACTAGTCAGATTGCATTAAGGTCCACTCTAATGACTTCATTTAACTTAATTACCACTTTAAAGCCTCTAGCTTCAAATACAGTCACATTCTGAAGTCATGGAAGTTAGGACTTCAACACATAAATTTTGGGGGGACACAATTCAGGCTTAATGGGAGCAACATTTCAACTTACTCCAGTACCTAGGAGGCCACCACTAACAATTCACTCTAATAGGTCATGCATCGATTATCTTAATATTGTGTCTTATGCTATAGGATGCCCTTTCCCATACCTGAGCCCATTTCATCTTATAAAGTGGCTA